TTAATATTAAAAACATTACAAAAATACAGTGAATTTAGAAATGAAATTAGGAATCTTGAAATAGATAGATGGAAGTTGCATTCACACATGTATTTCAGTCCTCTAGTAATATTTATTTTTTATCGTAAATATATGTTATTTCGCGATAAATTTAAATACATGTTTATTAAGTATGTACATATTGTTTTTTCATGTAGTGAAATCGCGTTACAATGAATTTTCAGGTATCTCTGATCTCTTTTTAACTACATTTTGTAACTTATATAACAATAATTACAAAATTCTTAACGTTCATATAAATATCTTTCTTATGTAGGCACGTTCTTACATGTATGTACAATTTCTTTTGTAATGCTTTCGCGATAGTTATCTTGATATATTGTCTCTTAAGGATAAAGTTCGAAATTTAAATGCTGTGTTGCAATGATTTTGTAACTTATTTTCGGAAAATACAGAGATATTAACACTGAAAGTAACTGAAACGCAAAAAGCACTTAAATCTCGAAGATAATCCAAAAACTTGTTTAAAGTGTTAAACTACAGTAATTAATTCTAAAATCAAATTCTAGATTTTATATTTTACTCAATAAAAATATTAATTATTTCATCAACAAATACATCAAAAATTAAATCATATCTGACTATTAAACACTGTTTTAATAATCACAATAACAATGTGTCATTATCAATATTGCAAAGTAGTACCTTGTTTATATAAATTCTAATTTTTCTGCCACTGTTCATTTTAATATTGTCTAATTCTTATCGGCCTATAATGTCATATTAATCTATATAAGTCTAAACAAATTTTCATTTGAGAAATTGATTGACTATTAATTAACCATTGCAATTCAAGAAGCTTCTAAAAAAAAATTAATTATTTACATAAAAAATTAATAAAAGTAATGTTATATTTAAAAAAATATTTTCAAAAATTTAAGAAATTAAAAAAAAATTCTTTTTTAAGATTTTATAAAATAATAATAATATAATGCTGCCAATATTTTCGTGGTATACAATAATAAAGAAACTATTAAGCATAATATAACTTATAAATATAAAAAAATACTAATGTTATCTCATGTTTCCAGAACCATTAAAAATATATATAAAGTACTGCATACATAGTTACTTATTATAATTATTAAGATATATAATTACAATGTAATAATGCATAATTACAATATAACAACAATATGAAATTTACATTTTCAGTTAAGTAACTCATGTATATTTATGATACTTGTCCTAAAGTATATTAAG